AAGCCGCGATTATTTTAATCGCGGCTTCATTTCCCTCTTCCGAGCTGGCTAATCTACATGCCTCCGTCGACGGAGGCATGGAGTCTGGACACAGCCTTACTGTATTAATTTTTTTAAATAACCTAATCAGAAGTCTGGCACATTTATATAACTGAAATCAATTTTAACAAAAGCATTAACAGATTGCCCCTGTGTTTTGAAGTGTTTACCCAGGTATCAGCCATATAGCTTTACTTGAAATCCCTGGAAAACCCTGGTGGAAACAGATGAGGGGACTATTAAATCCAGGGCATTGTGGACCAAAGAGGGAAGCAAAATTCAGAGCCTAAGAACTCTCACTGATAAAGCTTCACAACCAGCCTCCCTGTTGTTGTCTTGCTAACTTGCACTAGGGATGTAAAATTTAGATTAACTAATCGAATAGTCAATGGGATTTCCATTAACTATTTGATTAGTCTATAAGGGCGCTTCCACCTTTAAACTGTAGCAAGAGCCCTGCCGGGCTCTTGTATATTTCAAAATCAGAAGCCGCACAGGGAGCACTGGTTCCCGCTGGCCCTGCACTCTCTGTGGGGCTTCTGCTTTTGAAATATACAAGAGCCCAAGTGGAGCTCTTGTACATTTCAAAAGCAGAATTGCAGCAGAAGCGGCACAAGTGGAGACTGCTTCAGTCCCTGCTCATGCCGTTTCTCACAGTGCCTCTACCTCCCGTGCTCCCTGCTGATAGAGGCAGCAAGAGGGGAAAGTGACTGTCGCATCACTGTTTGACTATCTGATAAGCTTCTGCTTATCGGATAGTCGACTAGTTGCTTACAACCCTAATTTAAACACCAAGAAAGCAGGACATTTGTTTACAGCAAGGGAGGGTGGCATAGAACAATGTGAGAAATGAAGCAGTTTCAGATTGTAGGGAGATTCAAAACTATTTAGGTCTGTGTAAGTCAAAGCCATTAACTCAACCTTCATTCAACAGCTGTCTGTGAGTGGAAATCAAACGGTACAGGCGTAATATCCTTCTTGCAGAAGGTCCTGCTGTATAAATAGGTATCTCTTCTTCACCTACTAGTAATACTTGGAACTGTTTAAGGTGCATTACAGCAAATGTGCTCTTTTGGAAGACCCTGTATTCCTCGTTCTATGAGGAAGAAGGGGACTTCTAAAAGAGGGGGTGTTTCTGACATTTGACCTTGTCTAGATGGGCCAAATGTCGGAAAAGCCTCTTCTGACAAAAGAATTGGAAAAAGGTATGCACTTTGAGTACCTTTTTCCAACAAAAACGTATAGTCTAGCCATACCCTAAGAGGGACATGTAATTCTGCTGCTGCCGCAAATATACTTGTAGTTCAGTATAATCCACTATACTATCTTGCAAACAGATTATTTTTTCTCTTTAGTCCTATTGGAAGTTAGCACTGCATTAACAATGGTTGTATGTAGATACTATAGCGATGATTACCTTAGAAATGCTTATTTCAGATTTACACAGGTGGACATCTGCTTCCTTCCTCATCCCATGCACAATCCCCCTCTCTTTTAGAGTTCTTAAAATGTTATGGCATATTTTATCAGTGGATTAATATTGTCATTTGTCTTCACATAACAAATAGAGTTACCCAAAGGGCAACTACAGAAAGCCATTTTATCTTCATTATTATGTGTTGGGTCATTGGGTGTTGCATAGAAATAATGAAAGTAAATATTAGGTTGGAGGAGAGGGTGTTTTTTCTCCCCTCTGAATGTAAATACATTTGTATTTAAATAGTCATGCTTCATTAACAGAACTCTAATGAGTCCATGAGTCACTTCAGGGACTGATTTCATTTCCAGGTAGTGGTGTGCAGAGCATGATTGGTAATGTACGGAATCAGATAGTCATGAGGCAGCTTGCTTATTGTATATGAGGGTTTGGAATAGCTTCTGGATCACTATGTAAAGTGAATGCAACACTCCTTGTGATGATCTCTTTCCCCAGCATTCAATGCAAGACTATTCTAGAAGAGGAAATGTTGTGCATTGAGTTTGTAAGCTTTGGGGGAATCCTATCTGCAGTGTAGCAAATATCAACAGATGAACTGTAACAGTGTATTCATAATAATATAATGCATGAAGGTATACCTATCTCATAGAGCTGGAAGGGACTTTAAGAGGTCATCGAGTCCAGTCTCCTGACCTTACAGCAGGACCCAGGACCATCCCTGACAGATTTGACCTAGATCCCTAAATAGCCCCTTCAAGGAGTGAACTCACAACACTGGGTTTAGCAGCCAGTGCTCAAACCACTGAACTATTCTTTCCCCCATTTAAATCATACGTAGGTTGTATGGGGCAAAAAACTACCACCTGCTTGAGTTTCTGCCTCTTTACACCAGGGCTGGGCAAAATACGTCCTGGTGGCTCAAAACAACCAGCCAATCGGAGCTGAGAAATGGGCATGGAGGATGGGGGCAGTATAAGTGTCTTTCCCTTCCCGGAGCAGAGAGCGCCATGGAGGGAGCTGCCTGCAGTTTAAAGTGATCTGGGGCTGCAGTAGACAGGGAGCCCAGCCTGCCCTGGGGTGCTGAAAGGCTGCTGGCTTTGCCTAGGAGGTGCTTACCTGGTGCTGGCACCCCAACCCCTCCTGCACCCAAACTCCCTCCCCCGGGTCACCATCCAAATCCTCCGCACCCACCCTGCAGAGGCTTCAAGGGTGGGGGAGTGCATGTAGGGTACATCTAGACTACATGCCTCTGGTGACAGAGGCATGTAGATTAGACTACCCGGCATAGGAAAATGATGAGGCATACCTGGGAGGTCGACAGATGCCTTTGATGTCGACCATGGAACGTCCAGACTACCACGCTGAGCTGACAAACAGCTGATCGGCTCAGCGCGGCAGCCATGTAAATTTAAATGAAGCGGCGATTATTTAAATCGCCACTTCATTTTCCTATGCCGGGTAGTCTAATCTACATGCCTCTGTCCCCAGAGGCATGTAGTCTAGACCTACCCGTAGTTGATAGGATTAACCTAGTCTTAACAGTTAATTGTTTACTTGACTGTATGCTAACATCCCTATAAATGACTACATGTTAACATCCCTAATATCCAGGATCTAATAGATACTGGGGCATGAATTAGTACTAGCCCATTCTCATTATCTCTCTAAAATGTCTCTAAAATAAAACTAGTACAGTGGTCAGCCTGTCACTAGTACTAGGAACAAATATATCAGCAAGTACTGGTTCTTGCCATGCAATTTTAGGAGTGGGCATAGTGAATACTGATCCGTTCACAAAGGTGATTGCCACCAGGGTAGAGGTTTTCCGCCTGTCTGTTCTTCAGCCATCCGAGTCTCAACCTCCACTACAAAGGAGGGTGCATGGCTGCTCTACCGTAATAATGACTAGATGCTGTTAATGGAAGCAATACTCAACTGCAAATTGTTCCTTTGACTGTCTCTCTGGACAGATCGTGATTTGCGTTGTATTCGGCTCTAATAATGCAATGCAGAGGCAGTGTACGTATCCCAGAGAGGGAAGAGCCATGCTTTTCTTTTTAAATAAGCAACCCCTTTAGAGAAGGGTAGGAGAGAGAAAGACTGATTGTTTACCTCATCCAAGAGAACAGGTGATTGCAACTTGGTGCCTTTTGAAGCATGAATTCAAGAAGAAAAATGCGGGTGTCGGGGGCAGTACTGGTATGAAAAAATAATGGTCCGGTACATTTCTTTGCCTTTGTTAATTTTTCAACCATAGAAGTGTTGCTTTCTGAACCAGGGCCTGCCACTGAACAGCATAAGCAGCACTTCACATGCAGCCACAAAAGCCTTGTGGAATTTGCAATTAATTACTACTTTGCAATTACTACTTAAAAATCCTGTGACTTAACAATGGCTGAACTGAAACATTGTTTGTTTGCCTCTGATAATTTCTGCCATGAGTAAAACCTTTGCCAAAGTATATTAATGCTTTCTCCAGCACTGAAAATGCCATAGTGACATTTCTTTAGCCAGAAAATAGATAAGGAAACAAAGCCTATCCTTTACTGCCTCGCACTATGTCTTACCATTGATACCTCACACTATGTCTTACCATTGATTGGGACTAGGGATGAAAAATTTAGACGAATCGAATAGTTGATGGAAATCCCATTGACTATTTGATTAGTTAATTAGCCTACAAGAGCTATTGAGCTTTTGCTACAATAGGGAGTGCACTGGCCCCATGATCCCTGTGGTGCCTGAGCCTTTGAAATGTACAAAAGCCACAGCAGGGCTCTTGAACATTTCAAAAGCAGAATCACAGTAGAAGCAGTGCAAGCGGAGACTGCTTCAGTCCCCACTCCTGCCATTTCTCGCTGTGCCTCTACCTCTCCTGACCCCCACAGAGATGGTGCTGGGGGAACTGGCTTTTTAAACTTCCTCTTTCACCACTAAGAGCTGCCCGCTTCCTTCCCATACTCCTCCCCATACTGTGCTGCCCAGTGCAGCAGCCTTGGAGCTGACCTTGTCTGTAAAGATCAAGGCAAAAAAAGCATTGAATACTTCAGCCAGAATGAGGACAACCGAACCCATGTAAGGTCACCAAAGGAGAGGAAGGATGCAGCAAAACAAAATAGTGGAGAAACGTAGACAAGACCCTGAGGGATACTGACAAAGTGGTACAGTCTGTTTTTTAAATTTTCTCTTTGACAACTTGTGTTCTTGGCCAGTTAGCATTTTGTCTCCTTTCCCAAAACCTAAATATACAATAAATGCCACCTTGAATCACATTTGCACATGCAGCAATGGGCAGATGGCAACTCTGCATGCACAGTAAGGCTGCATGCACACAATTAAATAGGATAACTGCATAATTGTCATATGCATAGGCATTTGGATAGTTGTATGTGTAACAAAGGTGCATTCCTAGCTTCACTTGGCTTCCAGGACAAAAAGTGAATGAGGAGGGGGGGAAAAAAGAAAAGGAAATCTGCCTGGGCTACTTCCTACCCGCTTCACAATAGTCTGCGTCTTCCCACCTGCGTCCTCCCAGCTGGGCGCTGTCTCTGCTGACCGGCTCTTTCTCCTCCCCCTCCGAAGCTCTGGCAATAGCTCCTGCCTCTGAAGTGGTCATGCCAATTTTCTTCCACAATTTGATCTGAGGAAGTGGGTCTGGCCCATGAAAGCTCATCACCTCATAAACCATCTTGTTAGTCTTCAAAGTGCTTCATAGTTCTGTCTTTTGTTTCAGCTACACCAGACTAACATGGCTACATCTCTATTACTATTCCCCTTATCGACTAATTGTATAGTTGATACAAATTGTATCGATTACACGATTAGCCAGTTACCCGCTTCTTAACATCCTTACTCTTCACTTCACTTGTTAATTCATTTATGCTAGGCTGCTTCATATGCTGTTCTAGACACACGTGACCCAGTTCTCGTTTGTCCCAGCCCTGATCTTGCAGCAGGATTGGCGAGGAAAGAATGTAGCTTTAAGCTTTTATGTTCCCCATTTATGAAACAAGTGAAGGTTTATCTAGGTCAGGTATGTCAAACTCGAAGCTTACTGAAGGCTGCACAAACGAAAACTGATAGCTTTCAGGGCCACCAAAGACAATGTACTTTATCGGAAAGTCGTAATTATTTATCATTATAGGTTATGTTTCAGGTATATTTTATGATATTTTTTCAGGTCTAGTTTTAATATAATACAATAAATTTGATGTGTAAAATTGTTATTTTCTCATAGAAAATTAAGTTTATATTTAAATATAAACTTAAGGTACTTTTTAACTTTTATGATACATTACTTGTTTTGTTTAAATAAAAAGAAATATAGACCAGGGTTAATCAAATAGAACACTCTTCTATGAAAATTTCAGATACTTTGTAAGTTTGAGATTTTGCATAAACATATAATTATTCGTGCAATTGCAAAAAATTGACATATATTTGATATAAAATTAATAATATACAGGCAGTCCCCGAGTTACGCGGATCCGACTTATGTCGGATCCGCAGTTACGAACGGGGCTTTTCTTGCCCCGGAGGACGGGAGCGGCGGGACGCCCAGATGAGCCGCGGTCCCGCCGCCCGCATTCTCCGGGGCGAGAAAAGCTGCTCCCCATCTCCCTGGTCTGCTGGTCAGACCAGGGAGACGGGGAGCAAAGCCTCGGAGGACGCCCGCAGCGGGACAGCCGTGGTGCGTCTGGGCTGTCCCGCTGCTTAAAGAATTAGTGCTACTAAAAGGGTTAAGGGATCCACTTTAGTGCAACAGATTTTTCCCCATTATCAACAGGTATAGGTTCTTTTGAAAGATGCCTCAGGATTTTTGTTGCTAAGGAAACAACATCCTTGCAATCTGTATTTTTAGCCATTTAAGTGTGGTGATTTTTTTTTAAAGAGGCATATCCATAATCACCATTTTGCCTTCAGGACTGAAAACCTTGTTGCTTCCCACTGATAAGAGTAAGGGTTTTTAAAATTTGGGTTGCAGCTCATTAGGATAAGCAGCTGGTGGATTGCAAGATGCTTTCTTAACCTGAGTGTCTGCTGCATGACCACTTGCAATGCCCAGAATTGCCCTGCCCCGGGCTTCCTGGAATCAGCCTCTGATCAGTTTCAGCAGCAGCTGACTTGGGGATACCTGGGGTTCTTAAGTTGAATCTGTATGTAAGTCAGAACTGGTGTCCAGATTCAGCTGCTGTTGAAACTGATCAGTTTCAGCAGCGGCTGAATCAGGACGCCAGTTCCGACTTGCATACAGATTCAACTTAAGAACAAACCTACAGTCCCTATCTTGTACGTAACCCGGGGACTGCCTGTATATATTTTGTGATTTTTGTCTGGGAATAAATGAAACAAAATATTAACAAAATACCCCCTTCCTCTCTGCCAGAGCCAGGCTCCCCCGCCCCCACCCAGTGCCTCCCTCTGCCCCACAGCCAGGCACTCCCAGACCCCCCTCCAACCTAATACCTGGGTCCCGGAGTCACCATTACTGCCACCACACGTTTCTTCCTCAGGCATGCTGGGGCGGTGTGAGCACAGTGGTTGGCTGTGAGCACATGCCGAGTGCCGTACGCAGAGCGGCCCCAGCTGTGAGCAGTCATTGCGGCTCAGAGAAGCCCGGCTGGCTGTGATCTGCACTCGGCTACATGCTCCAAGCAGCCAGTGGGCCGCACTTTATTCCTTTATAAAAATGTTCTGGAGGGCCACAAAAAATTTCGATTGGGCCGTGTGCAGCCCTCCAAACGCCAGTTTGACATGCCTGCACTTGGTCCTAGTGCAAATAAGAGCAGTCATAGGGCTGCTCAAATTTATGCTTTGCCTTTCAGGACACTGGGAATTAGAGAATGCCTGAAATGCTGTATTGCAAAGGCTGTGGCAGGGTTTGGAACAGGGTCCTTACACTAGTTTGCCACTTTCCAGTGAGACCCCTGCATAGGGTATTGGGACATTTCTACTATTGGGAAATGGGCACCCACATTATAACTCTCTTTCTGGTGATCCCAACGCAGCAGTTGGCCTAGTGGCACAAGATGGGGGATTCAGGAGATCTTAGCAGGCCAGGCCAGGGCATGGCTGGGAACAGCACCAAGTGACCTTGAACAAGTCCCATCACTTTTCTGCGCCCATTTCCCCATCTGCAAAATAAAGCTAACAATGTTGTCCTCCTCTGTAAAGCACTTGGAAATGGATAGATGAGAAAAGTGCTTTTATAAGAGTGAGGCATTCTTGTAATAATTAGCCAAGAATCACACAACCAAGGTGAAATCCATACCTCAGTCTAAAGTCTATGGGCGACCTTCACACAAAGGAAGAGAGTTCCATCGTGGGGAAAATCTATGCCAGCAAACCTCTTTTAGTGTTAGCTTAGCCTTAGCTGGCAAGCTCTCAGGGACAGGGAAGCTGACAAGCTGTAGGTCAAACTAAATGAATTTTGGCCATTAATTTTATTGGGAGCAGGACTTGCAGTTACATTGCTAAAGCACCCTGTGTCCTGTGCTATAGCAATGCAGAGAGAGAGGTGCTGCGGGGGCTAGAAGTGAGAGCCAAGGCATTAGGGCAGCTGTACCTTTAAGAGCACAGTCAGGAAGCTGCCCTTTGCTCCCATGCTGCTACTTTTCACCCTGAGAGGCAAAATAAAAATTCCCTCCTTTGTGCCCCTCCACCACCACTGCCTTTGTACACTTGGCAGGGGGCTCACCCCCGTGGGTAACTGTAAACCCCCTGCTCTTCTCCCTATAGGGGAAAAACCTCAGCACAGGGGCTGGCAGCATCTCCCCGCTACCCCCCCATCCCGACTCTAATCACCCATGCCAGATTTTTTCCCTTCCAGCCCCTGTTCTTCCTCACCCTAAAATTACTTAACCCCCCAACCCAGGCAGTTAATTTCTGCCCCCAGCTCACACCCCACCCATCTTCCCCACCACAGTTTGCCCCTAAACCTCTTTTTAATGCTTGTAAAGAGGCAGAAACAGCTTCTAAATCTAAGTGGGCACAGCAGCAACAGTAGCTTTTACTGAACATGCTCAGTTCCAGCGCGCATGTTCAATAGACCTCACTAGTGAATTTTGAGATGCAGCAGCTTCTGTTGCTACGCTGGTGTAGGGGAGGGGGCTGACTTCCCCATCACGTTTACTTGGGTGACCATGGCAAACCCTGGGGGTGTGCGTTCACATCCTTCGCAAGCACTTCCTCCCCCACATACCGGCCTGTAAAAGCCTTTGTAATTCCCTCCGTAACTTCAATGAGCTTTGTTTCTGGTCATTATGAAGGATGCAGAATCAAATGCAGGTGAAAGAAAGCAGGTATATGATGTGGGGAAAGAAAGATGGGGCAGAATTGTGGACAGGGCAAGGTGGGGGTAGTTGAAAGTGTGTAATTGCAGCAAAGGAAAATATTCTACTAAAGGTATGTTACTTTTGCCAACAAGCGATCACTTCTCTTGTATGTTACATCCCTTTTTCCCACATTTTCTCTGTCCTTTGTCTTTCTAGCTCATGTGTTCTCTCAGGTATGGGATGCATAGTATGTTGTACTCTACTTCAGTACATATAATAATAATAATTTACTATGTTTATTTTCCTAACAGTTAGTAGATAGCAGTGGATGTTGAAAATAAGGTCTTCTGCTGCCTAGGAATGTAGTTAGATTTCTGATGGAAGCGGGTTTTTTTATTTTTTGTTTTTTCTTTTAGATTGCTCTGCAATGACTACAGCAAGATACAGGCCTACCTGGGACTTGGTACTTGACCCTTTGGTGTCCTGTAAACTCTGTCTTGGGGAATATCCTGTGGAACAGATGACGACAATAGCACAATGCCAATGCATCTTCTGTACTCTGGTTGGTTTGCTTTTTTTATTACGTATGGTTACATAAATTATAGACTTATTATATCTTCAGGTCAGAATGAGGCATTATTTGTTATGTAGATTTTAGTAGAACACAGTTCACCCACAAATTTTGGAAGTGCTGCAATGTCATAGTACCCCTATTCCCTAGATAGGCCATAGACAATGCCCATTCTGTGAAAATCTTGTAGATCCAGGCTCGCGTATCCCAGTGTGGAGAGCAAGTAGAGCTGAGAATGTGACCAGTGGCAGGAGAGGAATTAGCTGGTAAAGCTGCAGTGTCACACGGATTCAATGTGTGTCAGGATTACATATCCTATTATATCCCAGGAGGTGGAATTCTGTCTGTGGTAAGGAGTCTAAGAGCTGCTCCATGCCCTGTTTGTGATTGAGAGAGAGGACATTCTGATTTTTCTCTCATCTGGTTTATTCAGGCTTTCTGTGAATTTCACTCTTTATATATGAAAAAAGATGAAAAACCACGGAGTTACAAGTTGTCTTGTCAAATATGTTTGGGGTTTTTTTGGTTAGTGTGTGAGCAGCTATTAGATGCTTTGAACTGAGAATTAATAAGTGTGCTACACTTTAAAAAATAGAGCTAGTAACTAATTTTGTGACCCACCTAAAAAGAGGGTGCACAATTGGGATAATCAAGAAGTATTTCCATGGGGATGTTAACCTCCTTGATCACTTTACTTATACATTACTCCTGGGGGAATTCTGAGCCAAAAATGAACAATTCTGTGCACAAGATCTTAAAATTCTGCATATTTTAGACAAAATAATGTAACGTAGTCAGTCTGGTTTCAATTATTTTGGTAATTTAGTTAAACTATTATACAATGGGTGGTGAACAGGAGTGAAGAGCACTGGAGGAAATCACCAAACCTCCTCTGTTTAATGATAATGTAACTAGTACTGACCTTTTACTTCTTGTTATTAGTCAACAAATATATGCAGCTATATATTCAACATTACATGATAAACAACTGATGAGCAAGTGAAGGCTAGGGACTTAAACTGACAATTTATACTGGATACTGACCATCTTCAGAAAGGTCAATAGCAAACAGAGCACATTTTGATAAGCAACTTTTTCAGTCCAAAAATTTAGACCAGTTCTAATTGTTAAAGTACTGTAAACGTTTGTTAGGCCATCCTCTCTCTACTTCTCTGGCAATGTAAAATGTAATGTAAAATTTTTATGCCTGTTTTATTCTTCTGAGGGAATTCACTTAGAACAATGGGAACAATTCATTAAGCAGGTAGGCTGCTACATTCTACTCCGTCTGAGGGAATAGACCGTGCCCCTCACCTACCTCTTCAGAAATGCCAACAAAGCCATACCTCTCCACACCACGCATGCCATTATGAATGGAACAAATACTGTGCTTCATTATGCATTTGTGTAGGTGTCAGCCGAAATGGTCAGGGCAGTGTGTGCGTGTGTGTTACACCCAAGTCTTCAACTGCTGAGATGCAAAGTCTTGTTGCAGTGGGCGGCCTAGGAGGCTGGAGGGCGCCCCAAAAAATAGTTTAATATCTGTGACTTTACTGCTAGGACTGGGGTCCCGTCGCAGAGGGCAGCCAACAGGCTCTCAGATGCCCCGAGTTTATAGGAAGAGCCTATTACACCTCAGATTTTAGCTGCTAGGATACAGAAATCCCTTCGCAGCGGGCAGCCTGGGGAGGCTGAGAGGTGCCCCAACGGATCTGTCCCCTGGAAGCGACACGATCCAAAACCCCCAAGCTCTTCCTATACCTGTCCCTTTTGACCGGCTGAAGTTCTTTTGTTTGTGTTCGGTTCGGGTACAGCAGCACGGGTTCAAGTCAGAAGCTTGACACGCACTGGCTTATTTATAGGAGAAAGAAAGAGAAAAGAAATAAAGAAACTTGGTTCAGTGTATATAGATATATATATGTGAATGAGGGCACCCCACTTATTCCCAAAGTTTATAGCTAAATCACCTTACCAAAGGCAGTTTACAATAGAAATGAAGCAGCTTGACTTAAGAAAACTATAACAAAGTAACTAAACTTACAACAGAGTGACAATTAAAGTGTACACATAAAGAAAACACATTGCAGGTACAATTCTCACCCCTGCGTTCCAGACTTGGCGTGGCCAGCGTCTTTTTCTCAATCCCTCGGGAAGAAGTAGGGCAAGGTTGGGTGTCCCACGGACCTTGGGAGACAATCAATACCTGCCAGCAGGTGTAAGTGATTGGAGCTCAAATGGGGTGGGCAACTAAACCCTCTTTATACCCCTTGGGTCACATGGGCTTCTTCCTGGTCTCAAGTGGCCAATTAGGAAAAATGGCTTTGAATGCCAAGTTTCCCACGAAGGGTGCAAAGCATAATTTACACCTGGGAAAATGCAGACAATGGGCACCTCTGGTATGTGATGGGCGAAGATTCCTCTCCTGAGACAGTGCAGGCGTGTCAATTACTGATACTAGCCATCAGGGCGACGGGAGGCCTCCCAGTCGTCAGCTAGCCCATTTACTGTCTGGTTTCTGTTTATGGTAGAGTCAGGGACAGGCACCACACCTGCGTTCCCAGGGCATCAAAGGCTGACTGCCTTTCTCTTGCTCACTGGGGGGGGGAACAAGATGGGGTTCGTGTCTGGCTACAGTAGGCAGCGATTGATCAAATACGCAAAAGAGTATAAAATAATTTAATGTAAAACCACTCTGTATTGCCCATAAGATAGGTTTTTCTATTCATAGCTAGGTTTTTACACATGTTTATTCCCTAAATCAGTTGCTGTATATTTTAGTTTAATTTCACTGTAACTTCCAAATGATAGCCCAGTGGACAATTGCCCCACCATGTGATGTTTCCGTGACATGGTTCCTTCTGTTGCTCACTTTGCCTGGTAGAATATCATTGTTTTCTATTTCTAGATATATCATTAAAGTGATAAATGGAAATGCTGTTAACCGGTTTCTATGGCACCGTTTAAGTAAACTTAACATGGAGACATTAAATGTACCTTACTGAACTGGATAAATAAGTTAATCCGTTTTTAGAATTAGTATTTGTTTATCCTTGGTATCCTGCTCAACACTGTGGCGCCACTGTCAGGGAAAGGAGTTAAAGAAGGGTAGATGGAGCATGCACGCATACCAATCAACCAGGGATGGGATTATTAGGAGCCAATCAGAAGGGGGCTTGCTGTAGCAGCCCAGGTATAGGGTGCTACTCAGCAGAGCGGAGGTCAGTGTCTGTCTGAAGGGCTAGGAGGAAGGACTAGCTGCTTTAAGAGTACCAAACAAAGTTAGCAAAGTCAGAGGGTGCTCCCAACTGATAAGTTGCCAAATGGCACCCTTGATATAAAGAGCTGGGAAGGTTCAAGCCCTCCAGAGAATTGGCCCAGGGAAGACAGGCAGTAGAGCAGGGGTGGGCAAAAGGGCCTTCTCAGGCCGGATCCGGCCCGCCAAGCGGTGGATCCAGCACACGGAAGCCCTGCTGCTCCCCCGCTGCCAGGCCAATTAGGGCTTGGGGACGGGGGAGTGCACAAACCCTTCTCCAGCCCTGCCAGCAGCACATGGCGCTTTGAAGCGCTGCACACTGCTTGCAGGACGGGGGGAGAGGGGAGGAGGCTTTGTGCATTCCCCTGCCCCCAGGCCAGTCAGGGATTGTGGACAGGGGAGCTGCGTGAAGCTTTCTTCACCCTGCCCCAGCCCTGCAAGGAGCCCGTGGCACTTTGCAGGATGGAAGGAGGCTTCCTGCGCTCCCCCGCCCCCAGACCCTGATTGGCCTGGGGGTGGGGGAGCATGCCAAGCCTCTTCCAGGGCATGGGTGCCTAGTGTGAAGAGGGTGCAAAGAGGCTCCCCCACCCCCAGATCAATCATTGTCGGGGATAGGGTAGCCCCGCTCCTTCAAAATTACTTCAAAAAAATTTTGAAGTGGTCCCTGGGCAAAAATTATTGCCCACCCCTGCAATAGAGGGAAGCAGAGGAAGGAAGGAAGTGGGTGCCACTTAAGGGTCCCTGGGCCCGGTGCCAGAGTACTGGGTGGGCCTGGATCCCTGCCCTTTGCCCCACTGGCTGCTGACAGAAATGGCCAGCAAAGAACTGCAGTTTACCCCTGAGGTAAGGGATAAGCTATGAGCTGCAATCCATCACTGCAGTGTGGGGCCAGATTGAGGATGGCCAGTTCCTCTGGAAGTGGTAGAGATCAGAGTTGGGACACAGCTATAGGGGCATGCGTCAAAGAGGACACTGCAGTCCAGTAAATGATGCAGGTCCAGAGCGTCGAGACAGCTGAAGCAAGACTGACGACAGATGAGAAAGATGCACTATTGAATGATTGAGCTAATTCCTAGAGCAACTAGCTGGAGGTGCTATGGGGATGAGTCGTCTCATCTTTACAGGCCCTCAGTTCAGTAATTTTTGAGGACCTCAGAAAATGTATCCTTGCAATCCCCTGTGATGATAGAGAAATATTATCCTCCTTATGCTGATGGAGAATTGAGGAGGTTAGACAGGAAGTCTATGGCAGAGCTGGGAATTCAACAGAGATTTCATGAATGCCTTAAATTCAAGGCCTTGGCTCCCTGCCCTAAAGAACTTACAGTTTAACAAATTACATTGAAGTCTGCAATTGGTTTTATTAAGGGAAAAATCCTAAACCTCTTGAAATTAGTGCAAAGGCTCCCATAGACTTCATTGGCCTTTGGATTAAGCTCTAAATACAGTGGACCAGCTAATCCTTTTACAATTCCACCAGTATCAGTGAAAATACACCAGCAAAGTGTTTCTCAGTATGTGTTTAATATCATGACAATGCACAAAAATAGTTTTAGCACATTGGTTGAAAATGTGAATGGTACCTTTGTGATAATTTTTCTGTTGGTTCTAGACTCACTTTCTAAATAACTGTATATAGAGAGAGCAGGAGTATTTTACTCATAAAACAGTCTTTCAATGCAGTATGATCAATATGTATAAATTTGCACAGACAGAAATATTATAGCGTTGAAGAATC